AGAGCTTGGGAAGGTAGAATTTCAGGCCTTATCTTTTACTTCCCACCCCCTCAAACCAAGAAACTCCTCAGTGGTCACAGCAATGTTTTCAGAGAGGAGGATTTGAAACTCTGGTGGGTAAAGGCCCTCTACATCCTGGGGGTTAGAAACTTGTCAGTTTAGGTGCTCAAGGAGATGAGTCTTTCCAGCCATACTTCTGGATGAAAATGTTCCTAGATGATGCTACTGCTGCTCTTTTGCCATTAGGTAGTCTGAGCACATTACTAATCTTAGGTTCTCAGAGTCACAGAGTCACAGAGTCACAGGATGAGAGAGGTTGGAAGGGCCCACAGTGGGTCACTGGTCCCACCTCCCTGCTCAGGCAGGGCCAGCCCAGAGCACATGGCTCAGGGTTGTGTCCAGATGGGTCTGGAATATCTCCAGTGAGGAGACTGCATAGCCTTCACTGGGCAATCTGTTCAGTGCTTGGTCACTGCACAGCAAAGTTCTTCCTTGTGTTCAGGTGGAACTTCCTGGGCATCAGTTCCTGCCCATTGCCTCTTGCTGGGCGCCATGGAACAGAGCCTGATCCATCCTCTGACACCTCCTGTGGGCACTGACAGACACTGCTGAGGCCCCTCAGTGTCTCTTCTAGAGGCTGAACAGGCCCAGCTTCCTCAGCCTGTCCTTGTGAGAGAGATGCTCCACTCACTAGGTGATGCATCATGGTTGAGCCTTCAGAAGGTTAAGCCTTCTGTGCATGACTGCAAGGCAGTGCTGAGGGGATGGAGTGTTGCATTTCTGGCTGAGGGGATGGAGTGTTGCATTTCTGAGGACATTTCTGAGTTTGAATCACATTTATTCTGTGAGAGCTCATTACCTTCTGCTCAGAGACTTGATAAGAAAATATATTGTACTGTGTCCAGTTCTGGTGTCCCCAACATGAGAAGGACGTGGTGAGACACTGGCCCAGGCTGCCCAGGGAGGCTGTGGCTGCCCCAACCCTGGCAGTGTTCACAGCCAGGTTGGCTGAAGCCTTGAGCAACCTGCTCTGGTGGAAGGTGTCCCTGCCCAGGGCAGGGGTTTGGGGCTGGATCATCTCTGAGCTCCATTCCAACCCCTTAACATTCCACGATTTTATGATCCTACAAAACATTTTATCGGTAGTTATTTCTATAACCACACTTCAGTGTCTCCACGCCTAGATCATGAGCTGCCACTGCCTTGCCTGTTTATCACTGGTAGAAACATTTAGTCACCGACTAAGCACACCCTAATGTTTACAGTTTAACTTCTGCTAAGCTTAGATACAACTTCCTCACTGATACTGCAGAAGAGAGAAACAGAAACTGGTGCTGCTGCAGCCCGTGAGGAGAGCAGCTCTGCCTTCAGCTCACGGAGAGCAGGGTGGAAGTGAAGACAATGTGTGCTCCTACAGCCACTGATGTCAACCCAAAACATGTGTATGGTGGAGGAAACAAAGCCACTTGGGCTCTGCTGGATTTATTTCCATTGGCTGACAGACAAAGGAGGCAGAATTTGGTGGTCTCCTCTCATGATGACTCTGGAACAGGATGAAAGAGGCCAACACAGCATTTCTTCTTGTGTGAAAGGCACAACAACACAGGACCAGGAAGGAAGGACCTCAGGGAGTCCAGTGGGTCTCTGTGCAGGGCCAAGGCAGCTCCAGGTGTATCCACCCCTTCCCAATGGACCTGGTTGTTTATATCATAGAGTCACAGAATCATCAAGGCTGGAGGATACCTCTAAGATCATCAAGTCCAACCATTAGTCCCTTCTCAGGCAATAGCTCCTATATTTCTTCTGGTTTCATCATTAGAAACCTTTTCTTTTCCTCCTCTTCTTGCAGTCTCAAAACTCCTATCCCATCTCTCATGGCCAGAGAGTACAGATAATTAATTTCCAAGGTTCAGAATCCTTTCCCATGATGTTGCCATTAGATTTCTCCTCCCAAATCACAGAACATCACCTTCTTAGCAGTATGTTTCTTGTCCTCCTCCTGCCTTTTCCCAGCACTGGATACACCTCTCCATGTGGCCTTTACCAGTGCTGAAAAGCAGGAAGGATTATTTTGCTGGTCAGGGCTTGCAATAAGTTGCCCGAGAAGGTGGTGGAGTCACCACCAGGCTCTGTAAGTGTTCAGGAGGCCGCGAGGGACTGGAATGTTCAAGGTTATTCACTCAAACAATCACCCCTTTGCCAAAGCAGCAGGTGCTTGGCTAGGGGAAGGTTTGCACCCACCAGCAAAGGAGAGGAGAAGAGTTTTTGGGGGGTGTGTGGCAGCAAACCCTCTGCTCTGCATAAGAAGAACCCAGGAGCAGAGGAGATGCACACCCACTACTGGAGGGTGACCACAACAAACCAACCTTTTTTTGGCAACCAGCTGGACTTGAGGAAGAGAAGGGAAAAGACTCATAAGAAACAGATCCTGCCAAGTGGAATAATGTTTATGTGTAAGGCATAAGAAAAGAGTTTACAGATTTCATCTCCTCTCTTTCTGCCCTGGAGAGCACGAGGAGTAGTTAGTGATGTGTGAGGAGGGAGAGCTCAGCTCCAAGCCCAGGGGGAGAGTTCCCAGCTGAGGGAGAGAGAGGTGTGTCCCTTCTCTCAGGGCAAACTGAACCTGCATGTGAACCCTGATGGCAACTCCCTGGCAGGAACACATTTGCCCCAGGACTGTGTGTCCTGGATGGCCAAGACACCCCAGACACACTGACACTGACTAGTGCCATCAAGTCAAGCTCTGCTAGATACCAAGTGCGTATTTGACATGGGTAAGGAGGAATGACTTGTCCTGAAGTGTCTGTTTGTGCCTAATGGTGCTGGAAAGGGTCTTTTTAGCCATTTTCACACCTATTTTGGCCACAAAATTCCATTGGAAGGAAACTTGTAGTTGATGTTGTAGGGACACACCAAGCAACCACAGAACTCTCTGGAACCTTCTGCAACCCTCTGCAACCCTCTGGAAGTGGCACAGGGCAGCCTCTAGGGTTCTGTACCTGCAGCCCCAGGTGTGCCCAGAGCCCTGGCAGGCTTTAGACATGGCCTCAGCCCAGGAGCTGCAGTAGAGGAGCTCCCCATGCCTGTCCCTTGTGAGACATGGGCTGAGGTGGCCTTGCATGGCAATGGGAATAAAAACTGCAGTGTGGACAATCCCTGGCTGGTTTGGCTCATCCCAAGTGGAGCTCCCCAAGACCAAACAGTTCCCAATGTGGCCCCAAGCAGCACCCATGGGGACAGTTGGTGCCAGGTGGCTCCATGGTGGATCACAGAGCTATGATGGCAGAAATAGACCTTCAAGCTCATCCAGTCCCACCACCATCACCCCTAAACCATGTCCCCAAGGGCCACATCCAGACACCTCTGGGACACTCCCAGGGACAGTGACTCCACCACCTCCCTGGGCAACTCATCCCAAAGCCTGAGCGTCTGGCAGGGAAATATTTCCCAATATCCAACCTGAACCTCCCCTGGTGCCACTTAAGCCATTTCCTCTCACCCTCAAGGGAATACTCAGTGGCCCTTTGGGATTTATCCCCAGGAATGGGCACAGCCAGGAGCTGCTGCTCCCAGAGCCTCACTGCAGGTCTGCAGCACACACCCAGTGAGAGCTGAGGTCACCTGGGCCTTGTATCCCTTCCAGTCATGCCCCTGTTCCATGCAGTTCACCAGGGAATTCCCAAGGGAATAAAGACAGAAACTGCTCCAATGACTTCAGAATTTGTCTATTTTCTCTTGCAATTCGTAAGGCATAAGAAAAGAGTTTACAGATTTCATCTCTTCTCTCTCTCCTCTCCATTTCTGCCCTGGAGAGCACGAGGAGCAGTTAGTGATGCGTGAGGAGGGAGAGCTCAGCTCCAAGCCCAGGGGGAGAGTTCCCAGCTGAGGGGGAGAGAGGTGTGTCCCTTCTCTCTCAGGGCAAACTGAACCTGCATGCGAACCCTGATGGCAACTCCCTGGCAGGAAAACATTTGCCCCAGGACCGTGTATCCTGGGTGATCAAGACACCCCAGACACACTGACACTGACTAGTGCCATCAAGTCAAGCTCTGCTAGATACCAAGTGCATGTTTGACGTGGGCAAGGAGGAATGACTTGTCCTGAAGTGTCTGTTTGTGCCTATTGGTGCTGGAAAGGCTCTTTTTAGCCATTTTCACACCTATTTTGGCCACAAAATTCCATTGGATGGAAACTTGAGAGTAATGCTATGACGAAAGCATTGCAGCCTCTGCTCCTGTGTCCTCGCCGAAGGCCTGAGCAGCAGGAAGCACCCATTTCTGTCTACAGTGACAAGTCTCCCCCTCCATGCCTGGTCAATTTCCAATATGAGCTATTCCAGAGGCCAGTGACAGTGTGTGTTCCTCTCCTTGGGAGCACCAGGAGGGATGTTTGCTGGGTTATGCAGCCCTGAGAGAGGAGAAGGCAGGAAGTCTTATCTATTTTCAACACTAAAGAAGACTCAGACAATGTAGAAAGGAGCTGCTCTTGGTTGACCTGCCCTGCAGGTCTCTAGCACAGAGGAAAGGGCTGGTGGGACATCAGGTGCAGGTTGACCTCTCTCCTGGGTTCTCAGGTGCTGGTGGCTCAGAGAAGCAAACAGAAACCCTCCCCTCAGTGTGAAGTTTGGCAACAACTGTGAGACAGAGATCAGAGGCAGCATAAGGAGAGGTTAGAGGTGTTAGAACAGAGTTATTTCTGCTCAAAACTCTGATTTAGTCTGATACTGCTATAATTGTGAGACCTACACTGTTCCCCTAATGTCAACTCATCTTTAACATTGAGGGGTGCCTTGAACTTGGAATGGACCACAAGTTCCTGTGTGCAAGACACACACACAGCATTGAAGAAGGAGCAAAGAACATGATACAATCATCATCATCAAAGCAAGATTGGCCAACAGCAGAACTTCCAAGCACCCCACAGGATATTTGGTGGCTTTTCCTTGTCCCATCTTGGCTGGTGTCCACCTCAGAAGCAAAAAAAACAGAGGCATCTTCTGGTTACTTCATCCTCTTGGCCACATCCAAGTAGGCATATTCAATCTCCTGATCAGCAGGGCAAGTGTTTGTAAATTCATCTCTGGCATAAGCATTGTTCAAGTATCTGGAAATCCCTGTCATGTCAGGGGGAAAATCGAAATTCCTATACTTCTTTGCCACCACCTTTGAGGGAAAGAAAGGAAGAAGCAAAGAAAAAGATCATTACACTCATAATTTGCAAAAAACAACTTTCTGCCCACTTTTCGTTCCAATGTGTGTGTTGTAGGGGACAAAGGGGAAAGGAGAAGGGAAGACGGCTAAAAAGAGCCTTTGGATGAAGGAAGTTGCCTAATAAGCCAAGAAACAGTAGACAATATCTGGAAGAGACACAGGTTAAACTGCCCCAATATCAAATACTGGATATTTTCACCGAAATCCAAGGAAAAACTTGGATTAAACCCCTAAATTTCAAATGGTTAGGGAAAACAGCTCTTGGACAGCCCCTAATCCTTCCTGCAAGGGTGGTGTGAGTGTGACTTTCATCCTCTGGTCTCCTCCAGAGGTTCACCTGGCACAAGGTGACTCTCCCGGTGCTGACCCTGAGCTCTGTGTGGGGGTGGGAAAGGCTCTCCCCTTGCTGCTCCCTGGAATAGGATCAACCAGGAGATCTCTGGGGAAGGTTTTCACTTGTGGAGGTCTCACCAAGCAATTGGATCCACTTTGCCCCTGGCAAAACAGTAGTCAAAAAGGAAATTTCTGAAGTGACCTCATTTGTTTGAAAACCAATTTCCAGTGTGGCCATTTCTCCTTCAAAACCTTCCAGAGTGGAATCACTGAATGGTTTGGGTTGGAAGTCAGAGTTTGGGATTAACATGGGAGAGGGAGGGATTGGAAGGGACAATATCATGTCACCTTCCATGAGCACTTTGCATGTGAAGTGCCAATGAGGACAGTTCTCTGCAGCACTGATTTTGACCTTCATTGCATCCTGGTGAGAGCCTCAGTGGCTGTAATCACAGCCCAGATATAAAACCTGATATAAACCCAGACATTCCAGATTTAGAGTCATCCAAAGTCATCCATGTGAGGATCTGTTTGGCTGTGCCATAAGGAAATGGCCTCAGAGTCCCTTCACAGCTACTGTGTGGCCTCAGAATACAGACAGGACCTCTCTGCCTTCTAGCAAAGGATTTCAGCTGTGCTGCCCTTCCCTCCAGGAGGCTAAAAAAGCCAATCAAACCTTGATTATGTGGAGCTTTGGTAGGAGGTTGCAATCGGCTAATGTCAGCTCATCTCCATCCAGGAATTTCCGGCTGGAGACAGTGATCTCCTCGGTGCTGTAAGCATCGATTTCATCAGGCAAAGGGCTGTTTAAGTAGCTGTCCAACCTCCTCAGGGCCTTCAGCAAAGACTTCTCCAAATCTAGGTTAAGACAACACAAAGATCATTGAAGCCTGTGCCAAAGTCTCTGTGACACCAAGCAACAAGGTGACACCTCCATCCTGTCTCCTGACACCAACCCTGGGCAGCTCCCTCAGCCTAAGCTGAACACTTAATGCTGGATAAGAGCTCTAAGGAGCTCAAGGGAGTTCTGAGAAAAAAACAGCTGTGTTACCAGGAATGGCTCCTCAAACCTCTCTGTGCATGGGATTTGGTGCTGCCTTCACATTGACTCTTGGCTCGGGAGTAGCCGGTCAAGTGTTTGCCCACAGTATGGATGGGAGTGATGCAGGGAATCACCAGGATGGCACTTTGGGGGGTTCAAAGCAGCCCATGAGTGCTGGGCTGAGGGCAAAACAGGAGCTGGAGAGGATTTTGTGGGTTGGTGGTGCCTGTGTGGAGAGGGGAGAAGGGAAGAACAAATGGAACAGGGCTCAGAGCTGGAGGACAGGGATGGAATCACAGGATCATGGAAAGGGTTGGGTTGGAAAGGACCTTAAAGCTCATCTTGTTCCAGTCCCCTGCCATGGGACACCTCCCACCAGCCCAGGCTGCTCCAAGCCCCATCCAGCCTGGCCTGGAACACTCCCAGGGATGGAGCAGCCACAGCTGCTCTGGGCAACCTGTGCCAGAGCCTCAGCACCTCACAGGGAGCAATTCCTGCCCAAGATCCAACCTAACTCTGCCCTCCTGCAGCTTAAGGCATGGTGACAGTGAGGGTCCTGCTCTAGAGGTGTTCCATGGGGTTGGAGTCCTCACTATGTATGGAAATGGAGCAGGAAGGGAAGGGCTCAACCCAGAGGGCTCTGCCTTTGGCCAAACTGTGGGGAAGGTGCAGCAGTAAAACCGTCAGAGCTGAAGGAACCAGGAGAGGCTGAATTGGTGCTCATACAAGGGAGGGAACAGACACAGATTTCCAGAGCCTCCACACTGGAGTGTTTAAGTGGAGCTGCAAACAGGACATGCCCAGCACAATGTGTTGGGCCTGCACAGATCCAGTCTCTCCCTCCAGGGCTGAGCACAGAACTGGAGCACTTACTTTCATTTGCATCTTTCCTTGGGTTCTTTATAAATGCTGAGAACTTTGCAAACACATCATTTCCTGCGGAGTTCGACTCAGGATGCTTAGGGGCAAGTTTGGGATACCTGAGGAGATAAAAGAAACAACAAGAAGTTGTATGAGAGTACTAATATCCAGGGGGTGAAATGTGTGTGGGTGAGGGACATGATGCTGCTGATGGAGGGACAGCAGGATTGGGGTGGGAAGAACTGCTGGGGATGAGGATGAGTCCAAAGCTAGACCTTCATGTACAGCAAGGAGGGACAAGCTAAGTGAGTCCCAGTGTGCTGTGAGGGACGTGTCACTGCCCTTTGCTTCTCAGAATGATCAGGACCTTCAAGCTCATCCAGTCCCACCAGAAACACCCCTAAACCATGTCCCCAAGGGCCACATGCAGACACCTCTGGGACACTCCCAGAGACAGTGACTCCACCACCTCCCTGGGCAGCTCATCCCAAGGCCTGAACACTGGCAGAGAAAAACTGTTCTAATATCTAATCTGAACCTCCTCTGGGGTAGCTTAAGGCCATTTCCTTTTGTCCTTACCCTTGGGACATGGCAAAAAGACCAACCCACACCTCACTGCAAGCTACTGGCAGGAATTGTGGAGAACAATGAGTCCAAGTCCCACGAAGGAAAGTTGAGGAAAACCTCAAACAATCCCAAGTGGAGGAACAAGGTCAAGTGTCTGCAGATGGTGGATTCTGTGCCTTGGGAAGGCTGTGATGGACCTGGAGTGACCTCAGGGTGAAGGAGAGCACAGCCAGTGACTTGGGGCCACCCCAGGATGGTGCCATGCTTCACCACTGCTTCACACCAGCTAAAATTCCTCTCTGTGAGCTCCGCTGAGCCTCCCCCACACAAATGCATCTCAGTGAGGGTCTGACCCCCCAACAGACTTGGGCAGAGACCCCCAGGCATGCAGTACCTGGGTGGTGCCAGTTTTTCTTCCAAGAATTCCTCAATCTTATTGACATCGGTTTTCACCTCCCCATCAAAGGTCATGAAGGGAGGGTTGGTGCCTGGGGCAAGGTTCTGCAGGTCTGCAGGTTTTCTGAGGGGAAAAGAGATGGAGTTAATCACAACAGGAACCACAACTGCCACTGTGACGCCTAAATGCCACTACTGCACTGTTAAAATCATGGAATCATGGAATGGTTTGGGATGGAAGGACCTTAAAGATCATATTCCAATCCCCTGCCCTGGGCAGGGGATTGCTCCCACCAGCCCAGGCTGCTCCAAGCCCCATCCAACCTGGCCTGGAACACTCCCAGGGATGGAGCAGCCACAGCTGCTCCAATCAACCTGTGCCAGTGCCTCAGCACCTCACAGGGAGCAATTCCTGCCCAATATCACTCTGTCCCTGCCCTCTGGCAGTGGGAAGCCATTCCCTGTGTCCTGTCCCTCCATCCCTTGTCCCAAGTCCCTCTTAGCTCTCCTGGAGCCCCTTGAGGCACTGGAAGGGGCTCTGAGGTCTCCCTGGAGCTTCTCTTCTCCAGGGATGTCCACATCCTTAGCTCTCCCAGCCTCTGAGGAAAGAGCCACCCTTTAAAATCCCAGAAAGTTAAAACCTCCAAGTTAATCCCCAAAAGTTCCAGCCTCACCTTTTCAAATCCACAGTGGTGACATTAAAAATGACACCTTTTAGCCACAGGATCATGAAGAGCCTCTGAGAGAAGGGGCAGTTCCCAATGCTTTCCCCATCACTGCCAGCCTGAAATTGGAAGACTAAATGATTATACACACACAAACATATCTGATGGCAACAAATTCTAAGAGCAGGAGAGCAGCAAACCCAGATCTGCTCTGAGTATGTAAAGCACATTATTAACTCATCTCTGCTAATCCATATACTCCTGCAGATTGTCTTGCTCTCCCTCGCCAAACCCACCCAGAGATGTGCTGAAGGATCCTGTCATCCTGGGCACCTCGTTCTGCCTTAAATGCATCACGGATATGCCACAAGTTAGCAAACACAGCTGAAGTCAGAGCAAATAAAGTGCCTCCACCTCATCTGTCTCCAAGATTAATGTAAGTTTAAATCAATTTATGCTCACAGGAAACAGAGATTTACCAGCCTGACCTGAGCTGCAGTGACTGGAGCACTGAAGGGAACAAGCAGAACACATCAGCTCATCAAGAAGTTCAAACCAGAGGATTCTGAAGGCTCTGGAGGAGGAGAGAAGCTCAGCCAGAGGTGCAGCTCTCTGTGTGTGGCCACACAAGTGATGCTCTGGTGTGATTTGTCCTGAGTTTTGTTCAGAAGCTTCATTAAAATGAGGCCAAGCCTTGCAGAGTTAAGTGAGGCTTCACGTGACATTGTGAGGAGAGATCAGGAGTCTAATATTAAGCTATTCACACAATTCTGCTACAGCAAAGCTTTAAAACTTACATTAAATGGGAGGAGGTAGAAGCAAAACCCCCAAGTGCATCACTCATTCAGCCAATAGGTTCATTCATTATGGTTTCAGCCCTTCCAGCTCAACAAGACACATAAACGGAACCACTTCTGCTTGTTCTTTTGCCTTCCTCAAGGCTCTCAAATATCTCTGACAGACTAGAACCTCTTCAATGCTATTAAATCAGTGTCAGACAGGGTAGAACTTCCCCCCTAAGCAAACCCTTAGCTGGGTAGTGCTCACCTTCACAAAGAGCTCGATGGCAGGGAACAAGCCCCTGGGCTGGAGCAGGCTGGAGCCTGAGGGATGCATGAGGATGGAGTGGATAAACCCTCTGGTTCTCCCTATCAACCAGAAGGAACCCCCGTGGACAAATCCCTTTCTGCCTCTGACACTGCAACAACTGCTTTGCTTGGTAGGGACAAGCAAAATTGCCTCAAGCACTGGGAGGGGAGGAGAACACGTAGAAATGCCAACCAGCTGGGCTGGAAAAGTGTTGGTTCTGTTAGAAGACTTGTCTTGTAGGTGGCAAAACAGAGAGCAGCTCAAAAGCTACTATTGTGTTGCTCCTCCTACTCAGAGCCCTCTCACAGCAAGGCAGGAGACAGAGAACTACTGTGCTCACACAACCACAGAAGGGACCTTAAATATCATCTCATCCCACCCCTGCCCTGGGCAGGGACACCTCCCACCAGGCCCGGTTTTTTTTCCCCAGCCGGCCCTGAAACACTCCCAGGGATGGAGCAGCCACAGCTGCTCCAATCAACCTGTGCCAGTGCCCCAGCACCTCACAGGGAGCAATTCCTGCCCAATCTCCACCTGTCCATGCCCTCTGGCAGTGGGAAGCCATTTCCTGTGTCCTGTCCCCCCATCCCTTTTCCCAAGTCCCTCTTAGCTCTGCTGGAGCCCCTTGAGGGAGTGGAAGGAGCTCTGAGGTCTCCCTGGAGCTTCTCTTCTCCAGGTGAGCACCCTGAGATGTCCCAGCCTGGATCCAGGGCAGAGAGGCTCCAGCCCCTGGAGCATCTCCATGGGCCAGGAGCTTGGGCCTTGCCTGAGCTGTCACTATTCAGAGATGGAGACTCCACCACCTCCTGGGCAACTCACTCCAATGCCTGAACAGTGTCACTGCTGCTGGGAAGGCAATAAAAACAGAGTTGCAAGTGATTTTGGTTCACTGAAGGCAACTCTAAGGCACTTCCTAATACTTGATGTTTGTAGAGGCCACAGGTGCATCATTTGGGGCAGAGAATGTTGAACCCAAAGCTTTTTGTGAGGAAGAGATGGATCACCTGGAGTTTTCTGTTCCTTCTGTGGCCTCAGATTGGAGCACAAACAACCAAACACTGGATTTTGCAGACCTCAGTGCCACCTGCTGGGCTTCAAAAGTTGCTCCTGAGAGCACTTGAGGTGCTGAAATTGCAATCCCAGGCTAGACTTGAAGATAAAGCAGCTGCAATTGAACATTTTCATGGAGAAAGCACAATTTTCCCACTTACTCCAATGCTTTAGCATCTGATTCCACCCCCTGCCCTGGGCAGGGACACATCCCACCAGCCCAGGCTGCTCCAAACATCCTGTGCCAGTGCCTCAGCACCTCACAGGGAGCAATTCCTGCCCAATATCCACCTGTCCCTGCCCTCTGGCAGTGGGAAGCCATTCCCTGTGTCCTGTCCCTCCAGCCCTTGTCCCAAGTCCCTCTCAGCTCTCCTGGAGCCCCTTTGGGCTGTCTCTCCTGTAGCACGTGGTGTCTATGGACCATGTTGCAGAGCACTGCATGTTCCTGGAACAACACCAGGCTCTTCCCTCAGGGGCTGGCGCAGGTCAAGGTCAAGCCAAGTGCACATAAACTCAGTTGGTTTCTCCTCCAGGTCTCCTCCCTGCACTTGTCCCCAGGTTTTGTGCAGTTTGCTAATCTGGGCACCTTTGATCCCTCCCTGTTCCCTAAACCCCTCCATATGCAGCCTGGATCATGGAGATGGAAATTAGCTGCTGCTCTACACTGTCGTTTCTCCTCACCTACTGAGTGCACAGGTCTTAGAGGGATGGGAGGAAAGGCTGAGAGAGCGGGGGTTGTTCAGCCTGAAGAAGAGAAGCTTTGGGGTGACTTCATTGTGGCTTTCAGTGCCTGAAGGAGCTCCAGGGGAGATGGAGATATATGCAGCCTGGATCATGGAGATGGAAATTAGCTGCTGCTCTACACTGTCGTTTCTCCTCACCTACTGAGTGCACAGGTCTTAGAGGGATGGGAGGAAAGGCTGAGAGAGCGGGGGTTGTTCAGCCTGAAGAAGAGAAGCTTTGGGGTGACTTCATTGTGGCTTTCAGTGCCTGAAGGAGCTCCAGGGGAGATGGAGATATTGACAAGG